TAAACACTACCTCATTATAATAATAATCACAACGACAATTTATCCTCAGACAACAGTAATATTACACGAGGTATGTCAGTCTATAGGCAAGATAAATGCTACAGGATTTATTGTAATAAGTTACTCATTTAGGTCGGTATGCCATAAGACACATTGATCACAGAGACAGGAGGACAAATTCTCGTACATTAAAATATAAATTTCGGTAAGACACAAATATTTAATATGAGTCAGCATTCCTAGTATAGATTGCGTTGCGACGAGCAACTACTGGTCGAGAACGAATGCAGGCGGAGTTTAGAGCTGATTGCAACGAGAAGCAGTGCAGAAAAATCCTGTCAGTTCTAAACGTCAACTATGACTCGTTGCTTTGTTCCTCTTAATATTGTTTCCAGATAACATTCATTTCTGGAGTGGTTAGGAAAATAGTTAGTGCAGGGCAAATAATCTCATTCCGACCACCTAGCATGAGTTTCTGAGGCTCAGGCCATGCGATACATGTCTGATGGACTATCTGAATGACAAAACGCGAAAGCGAGTCACTGAACTTTGTGTGTCAGGCCAATTTTTTCCGACCAAGAAAACACTTTGATCCGCCTCCACGCAATGGCCCCTCGGCTGGTATTTATTGTCTTTTAGTTCTAGATTAGGCTGCCATCTACACCAGAACTTCCATGTGGTTTAAGAATTTTGATGGTGGCGTGTATATTATTGAAACCACGTTTAGTAGCACTAAGTTCATTTGTCGAGACGACTTTTGAGCAACTCTAAAATGACCTTGGAATGTCCACCCACTATTCAGGGTTAAATAAGTGCTATTTAATGTTGTACGGAATTAGGATTAGGACTTACAGTCGGATATTAGAGTTAGGAATAAGTTTGATTTTTTAATCACGAACCAACATTATCTACAGTCTCAAAATGGCATTCAGTCAAATGAGTGTGTAAATGGCGTGTCACAATCTAAGATCTTCTCACTTACATCTGATTTGTTTGTCCATAACTTATAGTCTCCCTGATTATTTTTGCTGATGCGTTTGATAATAATATTTGGCGTTCGAGATTTATTTACATGGTGGAAAAAACATTCAAGTAGTAGTTCATGTATGACAACGTGGTCATAATACGTCATACTATTGTACAGTACGGAGTAGATGTCGTGACCCAGACTCTTTTTATGGGCTTCTCAAGCAAACGACCTAGGCTATGAGGTTTAGATGCAGTAGTGAGTGTGGTGGGTCCCTCTGATCGCTTATGTTTTTTTCTACCAACTGTGCACATCCCCGTGTACAGAGTAAATTTGTGCAGGACGGTGAAGTCATTTAATAAATAATACACCCACTTCAGTTCTTTTGTAGCTTAGCAGTGGTTGTTTGGTTGATACGAGCTATTGTTTTAAAAGCCATTCTAAAGGGGATGGTAATCCCTAGTGCGGACTTACTGGCAGTATTGAGTATTTCTGATGTTTCTGAAATTATGTAAGTAGTAAAGAAACCACGTCAGCTAGAATGCCTAATTAGAAGACAGAAGTTTTCAAAGTCAACGTGGGCTTGTAAACATCAAGTAGGGACGAACGGGAACAGGAAGCAATTGCTCTGAAAATGCATAAACAGTGACATTTGAGACAGTTAATGAATATATTGCAAATTAAGTATTACAGTATACTTTTCTATTTTACAAGTAACTCTGTAATTTTGTGCTAAATATAACTGGTTGTCCTCACCTGTGTTATCCTTCACTACAGTAGGAGTAGTAGTCTTATATCCATGTTCGTTTGATTTGCTATCAGTGTTGCCAATGGAAGAAAAACAGTTAGTATGTGGTTTGATAAGACACGAAGCATGTTTAGAAGTACGTGGTGTCGTAACGTGGGTTGAATGAACAAATGGCGTACTTGGTGACTGGCCAGAATGGCCACTCATAAGGACTATCTCCTACCACAGTTATAAACTGCAAGGCAGGACGTTTGATGAGGCGAGAGCTAAAAAGGATGTGTTATCCGTGCTGAAACGTTTAGGATCCAAAGATCGTATGAGGTAGCGTCTAGAATTATTAGGTAGGTGCCCACGTAGGTCGAGAATATATCCTTGTGTGTCATTTGAGTCCTTCTGCAGTTATTCAAGAAAGTTGTTCGTTTTATGTTAGAGATAGGAATAGCCTGGAGTTTTGCCAAGAAATATGTCTATAATGTGTGTGATTGTGTATTGATTCTTAGAACATTTAAAATTCATTCTAGAAAGCTCGTCAGTACCGTGAGTAGATGTAGAGCTAGATAGGCGTGATCGTACTTTAGAATGATGGATACTTTTAGTCCCCTGTGTGCGTTGTGGGATCTACCGCTTATATGGACAGATTAGCGTTGTAAGGTTAGGGTGTTGGATGGTTTGTGCGTTTTTTAGACTGGATGTCATTGTTCGCAATGTGTTTGGGATATATTTGTTTTACTTGAGGTCATTAACTGATGAATTCGGAACCTGAAAGCACTGAGACTCCTCAGCAGTGGATTGTAAGATGAGGTATCGAGTTAGAAGAGGATGTAAATAGAGATCATCTGAAAAAGTTGCAACCTGAAAAGCCCGTTGGGAGTTCTTACTGATATGACAATAATCGCTAGGAGATACGAACAAATTCGACTGGCTGAGTGACATGCACGGTGAATTCTGAGGTGGTATAAACTTTCTATGTACACCCACAGAACATAGCGTTGAAAGCACAGATTGCTTGACAATTACTGGTCCACCTAACCAGACGAAGTAATCTATACTTTTTATCCCGCTAGAATTGATGGTAACGAGCTTACCATTCTTCTCGTCAGTTCACTGTCGAGTTATTTGTTTTGAAGTGAATAACCCTAGATTACTTATACTGACAATAGAGTTTCGTCTAGGTTAAGCGGAGACAGTAACATATTATTTTTATGCACTACATATTCTTAGAACACTGGAAGGCGTGTATACTCACAACATCTAATATCTTTGTGATTAGGTAGAGAAAACCAAAAGGCACGATATGGAAGAGGGTTGAGGTGCTCGATTAGCTGACGTTCATTCATCTGTATGAAAGTTGAATTCTCTGGCATACCGTTTCCTAACTGTGAAAGATAACCATTGACCTGTCAAAGCAAATGTGGCTCCTGTGTGTTGACAGTTCGTGTCTTGAATAAACCTCTTCTCGTACTTGTAATTGATGTAGAAGCCTATAGAATAGTACTGTGAGGTTTGGTATTTGCCGTTCAGGTATTAACCATGACTAAGGCTTTAAGATATTTGATAGAGTTCAATAAATGTAGTTTGGCCACTCAACTGAACATACTCCAGTGAACTTGGTAGTAACCTGGTGGTTAATGTGCGTTGTATGAAAATAAATACTTCTCTACCAACTCAGTGGAGTCTCTGAGACCACATCCTAGACTTAGTTGATTACCGAAAAATACACACGTAGTTCTTTCGAAGAATATTCAGATAAGAAAAAAACTGACAGCATCGGTGCTTTAACGAATGGTGCCCAAGTAAGTTAGAAAAACCGACAATGGTGAGTGAGAAATTTTTTCTGGTCTTCGAAAGCAAAGTGATGTGTTACTTTTGAGCTGTCCAGTTAACGTGAGAGTTGTGTCACACGAAAGGATATAACGTGATCAAGCCTTTTTAGCAAATGATGTACATGGTAGAACAAGTACGGTCTGTAACAGGGTCGAATGCTTACAACACCACTTATTTTGGACAACTATCTGCCTTTACACAATCGATGAAAGTTTGGAATATGGTACCAGCTAAAAATAGAATTAAACGACTATGAACCCATCTTTCTGTTCTTCGTTTAGATTCATGGGTCAAATCGATTGGTTGTTCCAATTGGTTATGAATTGGCTAGAATGAATAAAGAAACTCGTGGTTTTCCGTTAAAAAGTATGTCCTTCTATAACAGGTTGTCAGTCCTTAAAGTTGAAGAACTCTCGAAGAAATAAGCTTGTGTTAGAGATATTTTAAAGCTACCTAGCAGATTTTCTCTACCAAGACTATACTAGCGCCATTTCTACATGCATTCAACCGTACTGGATGGTTCTGTGTGAAAATTCTTAACTTTTGGAATATTTTGGTGCAATTTTCAGATTCTAGAATATATCACGCAGTACATGAATTATTGAAGACCAACGTAAGTTGTCTATGTCGACTTTCGGAGCCCACTGGAATCTGGATGGAATAGTGTGGCTTTCTAGCTTATGTCGAAGACTTACAGACTACCCTCCGGCAATATCCAGGTACTGTGGTTATTTAAATGATTAAATAAAACCGGCGTGACGTTGCTAAAGAGGTGTATTAGTTAGAATAGGTTTGAGAAACAGAGTGCAACCATTCCCGGATAGCCTAATCTATGGAATGTAATCAAATGTCGTGCTTTTTTGTCGTTAACTTATTACATGATTTGGCTAATACCCTCTGACTTACAGTTTCATGTAGCTTTAGAAAAAGAAAATTAGAGAACAGCAAACCCAACCGAGAAACCCTTTGTTGACCAAAACATACCAAGCGCAAAAATCTACTAGAAAAGAAAGATTTCAAACGACACTTTCAGAGGCAAAACCAACGGTAGGCCGTCGTAAAAGTGCATGAAGCCAAAAGGTAAGACTGTGAAAGCTGACAAATACTAGTTATTCTATCTGTCAATATTTCAGTCTCGTACCAGTGATATTTAGTTCATATTTTCTCATCCACCGAAGCGGAACAACTTGATAAACTAGTAATCTACCGATCACCGATACTGCCCACTCAACTATTTCGAGATACAGCATCCTCGGTTTACGAAAGCCTATGAAATTACCTTTAAATTACGACATCATGCATTTGAAAACGATCATTTCAAAATGAAAATCATTTTGATTACAAAAGAGGGGAACAACTAAAGTTTACTGAAATGTTTTGCTCCACTTCGCTCTTGAAAAACTAGTGGTGTCTATGAAATGAAATTTTGTTAGTAGAATAATGTTTACCTTATGCATCAATAAGCATCAGAAACAACTTTGAACACTTATACAACGTTCAATTCACTTGTTTGTATTGGTAGCTACCATTCACGAGTTCAACTAAACTGGCCCGTGGTATTCATCCATTTCAAAAAATGGCTGCGAAGGCGTTTTTCGATATTAAGGCGGTGAAGAGCGATTGGAAGAATTACTTTTGAGGTAATTGTAGTCTTTCTCAAAGTATTATTTCTCAGTTATTCAATGATGTTCCAGATACTACCAGGAACTTCCGCGAGTTGTGCACTCATAAGAACAACTTTGGTTATAAAGGTTCTGTTTTCCACCGCATAATCCCCGGCTTCATGTGTCAAGGTGGTGATTTCACTAATGGCGATGGCACGGGTGGTAAAAGTATATACGGAAATAAATTCAAAGATGAGAACTTCAATCACAAACACGAGGCGTTCTCACTTTCTATGGCCAACGCTGGACCAAACACGAACGGTTCTCAATTTTTCATCACTACTGTCCCATGTTCATGGCTCGATGGCAAACATGTCGTTTTCGGTAAAGTCATCAGTGGTCAAGACGTTGTCAAGAAAATGGAGAGTTTAGGTTCCACAAGTGGAAAGCCGTCCAAAAAAATCATAGTTGAAGATTGTGGAGAATGTTAAATATCTGTTCTACCTATGTATGTTATAATTTATGAAACTTATCTGGCGTATATAAAATCGTCGTCGCAGTATTCCTTTCTTTCTTCAGTGTGTACAGACTGGCTTCCGTCGCTAGTTGATCTTAGTGATTCAATATCAATTTAGTATTTGACTTGGGGTAGTGAGTACGTGAATTGAGATGCATAATCGTTATGGGGGATAGGTTAGTTGTGAAGCTTTCATTGCTACTATAAAGGACAATGAAGGCGTCATAATACGACAACAAAGGTCAGGCTGATAAACTTCATAACTACCTTAGGCCTAATCGTAAGTCGTTAATAACTTGACGTTTATATTCAGCGTGTGGGATAGCTTCTCTTGTACACTTCAATCGAGAGGACAATCTATCCCTGCTCCGTCGTTCATTAGGTTGATTGTTGCGGTCTTCATTAAAGCAAAAATCATTCTAGCAGCAGCATGCAGTCTATGAATAACCAAACTAGACGTTGGTGTGCTCATTCAGCAGGATCTGTTATGCAGGGACACCCTAGCCCACTAGGCACTTCGAGACGTTTTCATATTTCGGATTCACATGCTCGGTCGTCGATCAAACTACTGGCAGTCAGCATTAGTAGTGAAGTCACCTGAAGACAATACCTGGGTGGGGTTTGTAGCTCTTTCCTAGCAACCTTGGTTGGTGATTTCGACCGTTGGTGAGTTTTTCGATGGCGAACTCGCATCAGTACCCAGTAGATAGTCGTGCTTCAAGTGTACCAACTGAGGTGATACCACCATCTTTACAATGTTGAATGAGACACTATGGCAGTATAATGCCGGGTACCGTGGTGGTTATCCTTCAGTGAGGGCGTCACTTGCCGCACTAGGGATTCCACACGCGTCCTAATCTACGGCAGTGACCTGTCCTGGTTGTCTTCAATATTGTTTCATGGGATAATTTGATGGTCTAGTGTTTGATTCTCAGCCACGAGTGCCGAAGTTTAGGTAGTTCGGTCTACTCGGCGAGACTAGCTCGATTTACCCGGCGCGGCGTACACGAATATGTAGGAGGTTGCGAGGATGTTTCGTACTTTAGGGTTGTCGCCAAGCACGTGATGAGAATGAGCGGTCTCAGAGTCTGTAAAACCGTACGCTATGCATTTGTGCAGTCTTTTTCATTACGATACTGGGATTCAGCACTTCGTTAGGAGCGAGTGTGTCGCTCGTTTCCATAATGATTGCTGTTGTGGTGTGTCCTACGTATATTGACATAAGGAGTAATTGATGTTAGTCGTGAACAGAAAGTCTGGCAGCAGAGACAAGAGGGTCGGACAGTAAAGAAGGAAAACAGGTTGGGATTTGTATGAAAATTCAAGAACAATGAAGTCTGGGTCATCTTGAGACAATTGGTGGGCATTTTGCAAAATAAGCATTTGATGGTTGTTATATTTTATTAACAAGTTTTGTAATTTTGTGTTAGACGCATCTGATTGTCTCCACTATGTTCTGTTCACCACAGTGTCACCATTATACTCGAAGCGGAATATGGTCAAGTCTTACGTTCCTAGGTATGTGTGAAGACTAGCTTAAATAATGGGTCATAACCAGAAGTTCCATAATAGTATGAGATAGCTGGTAAGGACTTCTGATTTGTTGTCCTGTGTAGAATTAATCTCTTGGAAATCGGTGACTGGTTTAAGTCAGAGAAGTACCGTAAAACTGGTAGCGATACAAGCTGTATCAAAAAGCTGTCATTTAAGGTGTTCAAAAATTCTGATTTGTAAAGTCATGAGATATATTTGTCTTCCTTTTTAGTTTAAAATCGTCTCGGTTTACACTAACCCTGCTGCTCCGTTATTAAGACCCTAAGTCTAAATACAATTAATTTTGTCAGTGACAATCAGCCTAAAACCTGGCAGAGATATTTGTTAACCTGAGTTGCCATGTCATAATATCACGAAGAGTTGAATTTGATAAAAAATAGTACAATCGGTGATTTTGAGGACGATGAGACATTAAAAATGTAATTTGTAAAGAAGGATGGATTAAAGGAAAACAGTCGCATTAATATTGAAGGGGAGATTAGTAAGTCCACCTGTAACCACTTCTGAACCATTTCAACCAACGCTTCCAACCAATTATGGTGGTCGGCCTCAGGATGTATCACTGGCAAGTGCTGTGTGTATTTGAATGGACTTGTGAAAATCACATTTATTTGTCTCAGGTGTATTTAGCAAAGATGGATAGTTGCCAGAAATGGTATCTAGGACGTGCATTTCGTCCCGTGTGGTGCTTATCAGCTGGATGTACCTGCATCTGAGAGTTGATGTCCACTCTGGGACTAGAACCCAGTACCGTTCGCATCAAATACCATCGCGTTATCCACTCGGCTACTGAGTCCTCATAGCAATCTGCTTGTGCAATGGGGTGAAGTTTAATTCACTTGGCATTGTTTGCTTGTATCTTCCTATTGCTGTTTAGGACTACAATCGATCAGTTTCTTACTGTCATATGTGCATCCTGTATGGACCACCTCGATATTGCCTTAAGTCACAAGCTTTATAAGTAAAGATGGATAGCACCTAGCATAAACCAACAAGAAACTGATCAATTGAAGTCCTAAACAACAATGGGAATATATAGTCAAACAATACCATGTGGATTAGGTGTATTCAGATACTTGTTTATCGGACACCAATCCATTTGATTAACTTTAGCTAATATTCTAATTGTAAGGAGTAGGTGTTGTGGTGGTGGGCGGCCTATGCTCCTTTTCGATTGGTATCAGGCGTAAGGTCAAAACAAAAGGTGGAACAGAATAATAACTTTCGACTTGGTGTTCAAATGCTGCATTATTTTAACAGGAACTACTGATCAGTAGAGAAATCCATTTGCGTTTATCTCAAACAAGTCTCTAGATTTATAAACCTCACTCAAGAACGAAGAATGCAAGCTAATCACTGAGGTTCAAGAACACCAGAACTGGCGGGATAACATTTTGAAGCACTGTTGCTGTTATCTCGGTCATCTACCAACCTACAGACAACACTACGGATCATCGTTGAACAGTCAATTGAATGGAACAATCATTAGGCGTCAACTTCCTCGACTATGAGAAGGCATTCGACGATGAATAGGAAAAGCTCATGCATCTTCATATGGTACTATGTTGTGTCTGAAATGATCGTCAAAATCATACGGAATTATTATGACAGACTAAACTGCAAGGTCCTACATAGACAGCAGGTGACAGATGCATTTGAAGTGAAGACCGGTGCCAGACAAGGCTGCTTATTCTCTTCATTTCTCTATCTTCTGAGGGGAAGCACGGAATATAGTGAACAGTTTGAATGCAGCTAAACGAATTAGACTTCCTAAATAACCTAACTGCTCTAGCCCATACACAGTGATAAGTGTAGGTTAAGACAGACAGTGTGATATCAATCTGTGCAGTAGTTGACCTCAACATACGAAATCGAGATCCTGAAAAATGATACAATGAGTAGCACTCAAATCACACTTGATAGACAACTGTTGGAAGAAGTAGGAAGTTTCATATACCTGGTCAGCATTACTAGTAATCAATGGGGACCGTATGCAGATGTGAAGTCAAATATTGACCAATCAAGCACAGAATTCCTTCAATTAAAATACACATGGAACTTCAAACCGGTGTCATTACACATAAAATTCAGAATTTTCAATGCGAACGTCAAAACAGTACATTGCACGGAGCTGAGACTTCGAGAGTTACTGCAACCATCATCAAATATGTGGAGGTATTTACAGACAATTTTGTACACAACATACTCGAAATTCGTTGACCGGATATCATCAGTTTTCGAAGTCAAATGTAATTGTCTCTCGTATATTTATTCACAAATCTTTGTCTTTATCATTATTATTACTAATTTATTTATTATCATTATTATTAATGGTTAAACATCATTATTCATCTCCCCAATACATGATTCAGGTACTTCGCATTCATCCCACCTTATTGTGTTTTACTAGTCATTTTTTACACAGTATAGTCTTCCACTTGACATTTGATCGAATTGTAATTGCACTATTATTTATGTCTCTCACCCTATCTAACCCATATTCATTCGGATCATGATGGATCACTTAACATCTAAGCTGATTCAAGTTAACATTCTATACAAGTCATATCAACCTAAACAATCTTATTGTATTTTATTTTACAATGCTACAGTTCACATGCTTTAACTTGAAACGATGTACTTTACCCTTAACCTGACCATTTCTCAGATTATTAATTTACGCTATAGAATTGTAGAAGGTGAAGAGAATTTTTCGAGGAGAATAGTCATCTTTCATAGATTAGTGTTTTGAAGAGATGATCAGGATCCTTAAACGATTGAAACACAGAAACGGCTTGAAATGTGGCTTGAAATTTCCAATCTTGGTAAATCTATTCAGTATCACTGATTGCTTGCAAAATGGAAACTGTTTAACAGTAACCTGTCAGTGAGTAAGTGAGTGAGTGACCTGACCTCATTTTCATGACCTTTTCTCTAAATTCATATAAATAATGAATTCGTTTCAATCCTGATTCAATTCACTTAATGGTTTGTTCTTTTTCAAAAACGAGTTTCATAACAGAGGAATACTATTGCAGTTGCGCATGTGTTTGTTTGTTTGTTTGTCTAAACGATCGATTGAGTTGATTTGAAACATACTCGAATGATGACTACTCATGAAAGCTGATTGATTGTATTAGTGACCTTTCAGAACATGTAGTTATTACACATCAGGGTATAATCCTGTGCATATTCGTATAAGATCGGTTTGTATATAGTTGAACAGATCAGTAAAGAGGGGTCATGATCCCTCACATAGAGTCAGGTGTGATACTGTTATCTGAAAGGGGCAGTCAGTGAGAGTTGCATACTATTGTGTACTGATGGAAGTTAGACATTAACATAGTTGGATACCGGTTCACTGATTCACAAGTATTTGTAATTCTTTTATTCTTATTCAAATAGCTGTGTATTTAATAGTTTTCTATATTTTATTCACTAGTCTAGTGATTGTGATGGAATTCACAATCATGATACTTGTTGTTATGAC